CATATATAGTTGCACTGACTCAGTAATGTACATGTAACCACATTTCTCCTATTATGACTGAGGTCATAAGTCTGTGAGCTCTGGAGCTTCTGAACATTTAAAGCAGTCCTCATAAAACTACTGACATTAAAAATATAAAATTACCAATAAAATAGGAGTGAACTACAAATAAATTCAAACATTTTGCATTTCATGGCTAAATGCAAAGTCGTCACTTAACCTGTTACCTGGTCAAACGTAAATGTTCACATAAAATTATTGTATGAACCACTACAGTAAAACTCTATTTAAATTTTACTTTTTGTGTGTCTCAGTATTGCAAAAAAAACATCTGAAAACTGATAAAGATGCAATATTCATGATCACTGACTCGCTTTCCAACAATAACCTCTAATAAATGTATTTTTGAGCATTAATAGTGCTCTAAATCTGGTTGAAATTTCAGTTTGCTATAGAAGAAGACTGGATCTGCATGACTTGAGAAAATAAAGGCTGATTCAGGGTCAGACAAAAGAGGCAATAACCAGCAGTCCACAAAGATGTTGACATCACTGCAAAGTGGTCTCAGTAATCAGATTATCTCTGCTCCTCAGTCAGATGCTCAACACACCACCACAAATACTCTCAAACTGAGAGAGATACATTTAGAATAACGCGTCTGAACTGAGCCAAAAATAAACAGCTTCTGTTGTGAGAATTTTAAAGCTTCAAGGAGAAAACCTACTGCATTTGAAGTGTCAGATTTTAACGATTTGATTTTTTTTTCCCTGGAGAGCTAAGATTGTTTACGGAGCTGAGAAGACAGCAGACGGGAGACAGAGGAGCAGCTCGGGGGCCTGCGCTGCTTGATATTTGCAGCAATGCCAAGTGGTTGTTGGTTTGAAGGGGACACCTGAGACCAGCACACCTGAACAATGCACTGAGGTGTAACACTAAACGGAGATGAACCCACGATTTGTCCCCCAACGCTCTTCTTCTCCTCTTCTTTCCCATCAGTCTACTCTCTCACTTATTTTCTCCCAACAACCTGATCTATTCCCTCACAATCTTTTGACTCTGTCTTCCCAGGCTTCACCCTGCAGGCCATCGCCACGCTATGGCAAACAGTGAGAGGGTGAGTCATTACATCATAATAATCAGGACCCCAGATACATCATTCAGAGTCCTACCTGAGAGATTCCTGCATGTCTCGAGTGACTATTTTCACACACTGTGCTTTAAACGAGTGGACCCAGCTGACAGCAGCTGTATGACTCAGCCATGGAGAGCCAGCATCACGGTGTTGTTGCTAAGGCTCTGCTCTCCGATTCGGGCATGATCATAGATTGTTAGAGCTGCACACAGAGGAAGGAGAAGATGAATGACAGAGGAGCTGTAGACGATTAGAAGATGAGCAGCAAGTGTTTACTTCTGCTACCTCAGAAGCCTCCAGTCAGCATCTTCCACACTCCACCCATGTGTGTACATAACCACTCCTATCACTAGTATCACTTGGAAGAATACACCATGTACGCGTTGCACGTAAGTACACAAACAAGCGCTCTTTGAAACACTCGTCGTTTATCTTTTGTTTGTTTGTTTGTTTGTTTTGTTGATGCGCCAACAACTGCAACTGCGTCTTTAAACAGCAAGAAGCACAAAGGACCAAAAATAGCACAGTGAGTTGCAGAGCAGAACTGCTCTCCTTGAGGAGGAGGAGGAGGAGGAGGTGCAGAGACATGACAGGGAAAAGATGGCAGAGGGAGAGCTGTTCTCCAGGACTTAGACATGCCCTGCTGTGTTCTGGTTGAACTTTCTCCTGCAGAGTCGATGCCTTCAACACCCCAGTGAGAGAAAAAAAAATCTGATTTCTGCAAATGGCATGAGCTGATATGGAGGAAAATATGACATTTTATATTTATACTTCACTGCTTGCTTGTTTATGAAGATCTTAGTGCAACAACTCTATCCATCCATTTTCTATACCCGATTTTCCACACGGGGTCACGGGGGGCTGGTGCCTATCTCCAGCTGTCTTTGGGCAAACAGGTGGCGTACACCCTGGACAGGTTGCCAGTCCATCGCAGGGCAACACAAATAAGAAAAATCCCTGTTAAATTACGATAAACTACTGGCAGCTAGAGCTGCCAGCTTCAAACTGTTAATCCACAGTACCCCCTGTGATCTGAATCAACAGTTAATTACAGTAAAGATTTTACAGTCCTGTGCTGTACAGAAAATAAATATTACAGTATTAAACTGTCACTAGACTTCCCATTAAATTACGGTAAATTACTGGCAGCTAGAGTTGCCAACTTGAAAGTGCTAATCTACAGTTTCCGTCATGATCTACAACAGCGGCTATTTACTGATAAAATACGACAGCACTGTGCTGTACCAAAACTGAACAGTATTATACTGTTCTATGGTTGCCAATATACGGTTATTTTACAGTTCTTAGTAGTGATGTGTTGTTCGTAAACGAAATGGCTCTAAGAGCCGGCTCTTTGAATTGACCGATCAGAGCCGACTCCTCCGAGAAGGAGCCTGCTCTGATCGGTCACAGTGAAGAATGCCGGTTAACTCATACCTCAGGTGACTGCAGACAGCCAATGTGAGCGGAACACAAAGAGCTGAGTCCAGAACATTTAGTGTGAATCACTGAGTGGAAGAGTGGAACGGCACAGGGGTCCAATTCCTTTGACCGACTATAGTAAACTAAATGGAATAAGGAATTATAAAGAATATCCATCAATCCATTCATTTTCAGTCACTTATCCAGAGTCAGGTCGCGGGGGCAGCAGCCTAAGCAGAGAGGCCAAGACATCCCTCTCCTCAGCCACTTGGACCAGCTCCTCTGGGGGAATCCCATGGTGTTCCCTGGCCAGCCAAGAAGCATAGTCCCTCCAGTGTGTCCTGTGTTTCCCTTTAGGTCTCCTCCCAGTTGGACAGGGTAGGAATGTAGATCGACCCGTAAATTGAGAGCTAAGCCAGAAGGCAAAGCTGTCTCTTCACCACAACAGATCGGTACAACGCCTGCATCACTGCAGATACAGCACCAATCCACCTATCCATCTCCCAATTATGAGGAATATCCCATTGTAAATGAACTTGTATTAGTCACTGGTTTTATGTGATATTTATAATCATTTGTCAACTTAGGCTGCACAGTGGAACAGTTACTTTTCAGCCAGAAGGCTCTAGTTTAAATGCCAGCTGTGGCCTTTCTGTGTGGAGTTAGCATGTTCTCCCTATGCAGAAGTGAATTTGCTTTACAATATGGGTCATTTTATTAAGAAACTTCGTGCATTATAAAAAAATAAACATTTAATAAAGTATTAACAACTGCTTAACCATATTGTGTAATGCATTACTAAATGGACCCCCACCCCCACCCCACCCCCCCACCCCGGTCCTTTTAGAACGGGAACATTGATATAGGGACCTTTTGTTTATTAATGCACTAAGTAACATTAATTTACTACTATTATATAATAATATTATATAATAATACTAAGTACTTATTGTAAAGTGTTACCATGTTTTTTTTTTACCAGGTGCTCCAGGTTCTTTCCACAGACACAAAGCATGCATGTTAGGGTACGTGGAGACGATTGTCCCTAGAAGAGATCGATCGTTAAGGATTTCCTATCACCGATTTCAATACCAGTATCTAGAGGTTCATGATCACTGGACGAAATGTGCTGCTTAGATTTTTTGGGGCCAATTTTCATGTCTGATATGATAAATGATAAATTACCCGCACTTGTATAGCGCCTCTCAGAGTAAGGACTCCAAAGCGCTTTACACTACAGTGTATCATTCATCCATTCACACACACATTCACACACTGGTGGTGATGAGCTACGATGTAGCCACAGCTGCCCTGGGGCGCACTGACAGAGGAGAGGCTGCCGAGCACAGGCGCCACCGGTCACTCCGACTACCAAGGACACAACAGCAGAATTCTCTGTCCGGAGCCGGGATCGAACCTGCAACCTTCCGATTAATGGACAACCCGCTCAACCTGTTGAGCTACTGATGCCCCAATATTAAGATGGCTTCTACCTTATTTGCTTGCTAAACTGTGACTAACAACAACAATTGATGCACAACATTTCTGAACATAATCAGCTTTTGAACACTGAGTTTAACAAACTCTTGAGTCTTGATTTTGTGCACAGCTTAGAGTTAAAATGAAACAATTAACCAAAATTAATTAAACAAATCAATAAAATGACCAGGTTTTCAATATAAAACAGGTAAACTAAAAAAAATGTCTGTTGACATTGACAATAATGTTTCAAAGTATTTATTAAGCAGATATTTTTCAGGAAGGTAAATATACATTTAAATATAATGTGTGTGACTGTGTGGTCCTGTGATGGACTGGCAACATGTCCAAGGTGTCCTCAGCTTCTTGCCCAGTGACTGCTGGAGTCAGTCACCAGGCCCCAGCCACTCACCCAAAGAATGAGGGATTTTGTCTGTTTAGACTTTATCAAACAGGATTAACAATCTCAAGAACCGCACAGCAAGAGGCTGAGAATCAGGAGTGGCAGCTATCTCTGACATCTTCAGAAATGACCACGACTTCTTGGTTTCTAATATTTGTAGCTATAGAAAGTGCTCTCTGGTGTTTTACCTTCTCATCATTGAACTCCTCAAGTAAGTTAAACAAAGATTCACCATTTTTCAAGTTGGCAAATGAAACGGAAGAACCCATAATGGAGTACAATGTCAACATTAGCCGAATCAACATCATAAGTTGATGAACAATAAGATAAACACATAACTGGTTTTATTCTACAGAAGGAAATGTTGTTTGGATTATAAAACACACCCCTAAAACCACAACCAAATGTGTTATTATAAAGCCTGTTTATGTCTTAAGTTATTTTACCTGATATATTTTTGCTTCATGTGTGATTTTGGATTTAAAATATTCAATTTAATGAAGCTATCAGTGTCCTATACATAACTTTGATGTATAAATAAAGATAAAAAGATCTGAAACTTACTGTTGCTGGACTTGAGGTCCCGGTGGATTATGGGTACAAATGCCTGGCTGTGCAAGTACTCCATCCCTGTTGCAATCTGCACGGCCCAGTTCACCAAAACTCTCGGGGGAACTTTCTTTCCAGCTAAGGCCCGGTTCAGGGCCCCCCCTCTGGCAAACTCCATCACTAAACAAAGGTTGGGTTCTTTCAAGCAGACCCCACGGAGCGCGATAATGTTGGTGTGGCGGAGCATCCAGAACAGCCTGGCCTCCTGCCGCACGTTCTCCGCCGTGGTGCTGATGTCCTCATCTGGATCCTGCCTGGCAGCCTTCACAGCTACTTCCTCACTCTGCCACACTCCTTTGTACACCTTCCCAAACCCTCCTGCTCCTATCACTTCCTCCAGGAGCAGTTCTGAGAAGTCAATCTCCAGGGGGGAAGCTCCAACCCCACCTGCCACTAGCCCTCCCGCAGTTAGCTGTTGGTAGTTGGCAGCATCACCTCTTGTGACATAATTGCTTGGAAAGATACCCACCTTGTCCTGGATCTTTCCTGTCCACCAGCCCTCATCCCCTGACACTTTGGAGTCTTTGGAAAGGACCTCGAGTAGGTCCCCGCATCTCAGAGTCAACTCCTCATCGGTTGTGGCCTCGTAGTCAAAGACTGCCGTCCAGTAAGGGTTGAGGTTGTTCGCACCGCACTTGTGACCTGGATGCGAGTCTGGAGAGTCGAAGGAGGAGAGGGTGGAGGAGTTCCAGCTGCTGCCGTTTTCCACCTGCACGACGGGGGCGGGAGACATCGGTGGTGGAGGGGTCATGCAAGGGGGCATGGAGGAGGAGGAGGAGGATGTAGTAGAGGAAGGGGGCCCAGGGGGAATGAGGCAAGGGGGAGGTGGTGTGCAGCAGCCCCCGCAGCTGGTGCAGGACAGGGGGGCTGCCGTGCTGCTCGCTCTGCCGTATGGGTTCATGGCAGCCTGACTGCTGTTTGATGCTTTGGGCCTGCCCTGCGTCAACTCAGGCACAAAATCCACACAGGGCCCATCGACTGAGACAAAGCTTCCTCGGCCACCAGTCGGAGGAAACAGAGCTCAGTGGCCCGGGGGGCAGCAAACGCTGTCCAACGTCACCACATCTCCTGGCTGAATTTGTTCCAACCGCTGTGACAGACTGCTGTATATAACACGTATTCCTAAAGGGCAAGTTCATTCAGGGATGATGTACATCAAGTCAAACAATGAGGTGCAGATCCATGGTGAAACGTCCCCTAAAAACCACTAAATAATTTTAAGTACAAAGCTGACACAAATCCTCAAAGCAGAAGTAAAAAGTATGTAGAAAACAGCAGGTGTTTTAAGATCTCACAAAGGAGTTTTACAGTTTCTTGACAAATGCTGCCAAGAGTTTTCTTTTCATTGATTGCTTACATGCTTCCAGCTCTTACAGTTTTGTGAATGCAATCAAAATCTGAGCTCATTTCTTAATTATTGGCTTCCTGTGGTTGATTTCCACCCATTTAAAATAAACTATGATGCTCCGAGGCAGCTTTATCAGTTGCTGGGATGACTATAAAACCACAGCATTCATTTTAGCATGGAAAATAAATGATTTCCTGCCAATAAAAAACACAGTCTGTGAAATCTTCTGTGCAGGGGGTCCTCATTATTTCTCATCCAGCCGATGCACCTCCCCCGCCAGCCATCTCCATGAATATCAGCCGATTTATAACGAGTATGGAGATATCCTCACATCCCAAAGAGCAAGTCTAAATCCTACACGCATGAGCCGGTTCCCTGAATAGTCGTCGTCAAAAAAGGGGCTTCGTCCATTTTAAGACTGAAGAATTAGAGGGACAAGCCGACGGCGGAGTGGCAGGTATTCAGTGGGGTTGTAAAGTGGCACCAGCATCCAGGGAAGTCAGAGCACAACAAACACGCCTCCGTGTCAGTGCGCAGCGGCCTGCTTCGGTCGCTGCATCCCTGATGGTGTCTGGAGACAGAAACGCACCAGCATTTATCATGATCCTGCAGCTTATCGAGGTCCCATCGTGGCCTTTTCACAACACCAGTCAGTTGTGCGTTGGGTTTTTTAATGTCCACGACTTCCTTAGCAGAGATGGTGGCTGTCACACGGCGGCAACAGCATCCTCGGAGGGTTGCGACACGAAAACGGCGATGAAGAGGTCCGCTTTTTTCTATATGGATATGATACCTCTGAACAACAACAACAACAATAATAACGTGGTTTATGTAAGCGCGTGCTCCAACACTACATTAATAAAGGAACATTCGCTTCTGCTGTAATCTAACCTGTACACTGAGGCATATCCGCTGACATCGACGCATGGACGTATAATGGTTTGTATCCAACTGAAAGATCCTGATATATTGACAGGTCAAAAGGCTCACAGCGTTCCCCGTCAGTCCGCGCGTCTCAGCTGTCCGTCCGGAGCTCCATCGTGTCCCTATAGACTTGTCCTGCCGAATAGACGCACCATTTCGAGCTACCGAGCTGTCAGTCTGTGGGCAGTTTGCATCCAAACACACCGGGTTGCCGTTCACGTACGCTACAGCGCGCACTCCCACTGCCGCTGATCTTTAACTCATAGGAATGGGCGCAGTTCGCAGGCTGACCCAGGTTTGCGCAGTCAACGCAAGTGCGCAGATCTGGGCGCAACTGGCTTCAAAGAGCAGATAGGAGGAACCAGGCCAAATGAACGCTTGCATTGTGGGTAATGTAGTCATTAGCAGCTCTCCTCCTGACCTACATCATTTTGACAGCTGATATAACTACAGTTAACATTAATACAATGGTATTAAGGCTAAGGCATTGCTTGAATTAAAACCATTTTCATAGGGCTGAACTTTTATTTTATTTCACATTACCAATGCATACAATTGCATTGTGATAACTCGTTATTATGTAGGTGCGGGTTTGAAGCAAAGATTATGAACTTACATTTCAGAATAGAATAGAATAGAATAGAATAGAATAGAATAGAATAGAATGTAGATCTATTATGTCATTATATCGAAAATACTTACAAATTATTTTAACAGGAGTGTAACATAGTCTAAAATAGAAAAAATAAACATTTTCATTATATTCCTGGACATCAAAACATTCAACAGCCACCAGGGTTTACAGAACATACCTTCACAATGGCGTCAGACCTTTTTCTTGTCAGGTTATAGTAAACATAGCAATACATTTCCCCAAAATACCAAATCATTACAATCCGTTGTTTCCTTGATTCATATTTTCTTCACAATACAGATTTAAGCTTCTGACAAAACTTTACGAGCTAAAATGGTAAACATGCATAAATACCAAATCCTAGAATAACTTAATAGGCTTATAGTTCTGAAATACTTATTGAAGATATAAACTATTTTTTTAATTTACTATTAAAATCATTATAATTTGAAAATAAAATCAACAGCCACCGTTGCAGATATTATTTTTAAACTATACTGACCCCTGGTGCTTATTCATTGAGACACAAATGTGCAAGCATTTTTTTTACCTGCTGTCTTAAAACAACATACCATCTTTATGAATATGGCAAGGCAACGCTTTTATAGCCTCAAGTATGTTTTATAATTTGTAAATTTAGTAAATTCACATCAATCTATCAACATGTCTCCATCCCATTTCATACGCAGATGCTGGAGATCAGAATGCGTATGACCATAGGAGCGGCTTTAAATGCTTTATATGGGGGTAAATTTATAACACAATACTGAACACAGGCGGAATGGCCACCAATGGTCTAGTCACAACACAAATCAAATAGTTTAGTAATGGATAAATGTATCCATTACTCGTTATCCTGAAGTTGCATGTAAACATTTTTGTGAGCTAAAAATAAAACAGCAAATTTACCTGACTTATTAGCAGCAGGACAAAATTGTCCACACTAAGGATATATCTCTCCTTTTATATCACAGCCTCTCACTGGTTTTCACTGATGTTTTGGAGCTGGATGACAGCATTTTGTTTCTAGCTGGAGAATAAGGTTTTAAGAATAATTAATACGTTAGATAGAAAACAAAGAAAACAGACCAAGGCATTTTTATAACAATTTTCAAAAAACGTCAGCCATTGCACCAATAACACGTTATGAACACAAGGTGGTGCTATTGACCAAATTCTCAACTTAACTTTTTTTTTGTTTACCTAAGAATTATTATGAATGGAAAATAAATACATCAGCGTCACTTACAGTCAGTTCTTTTTACATTTAAAATAATCAATCAATAAAAATAAAGCACAACGCTAATTTGATGTGTCTTCCTTTCCTTGACCTAAACTCTCCCTGTATAATTATATTAGATAACATTAAAAGTTTGAAAACTAAGATACTTAATTTGTTAGTGAGTTCATCTATGAACAACTGAGCTATGTGTAAAGTAAATAAAAGTAACCCAAAACACCTTTATGAGCTGTAGTCAACGTAATACACATGTTGGCATAATGAATATGGTCCAGCTCAAGGAAAAAAATGGAATTACTCTAAACAAACATAGAAGCAACGCAAATGGCTGGAACAGCAAGAAAGGCACAACAATAAAATTACTACATGTATCCGAAAATCTACAAAAATAATTTCATAGTCATAAAGATTAGTTATTAAAACTTTGAAGTGCCATTCTGGAGTTCTGTATTATTGTATAGAAACAGGGGTTGTTTATAGGAGTTTTTACAATAGCAGACAGCAAGTTGGCCCTAAAACTGAGTTGGAAATTATAGATCAGATAAAATGGGATACTTTCAAGATCCTATTTTTGCGTTCTGTTTCTCAAGATCTAATTCAACCTGTCACACTGCAGTTTAATTTGGTGCATTGTGTTTGAGGTTTTTATGCCAAACTAGTTTTAATTTTTAAGTCTCTGCTTCATGGTGAGATGATAGATACACGTTGCAACATCTGAGGTGCCCAAAAATGTGGTACTTTGTACACTTTCTTGAGTATTTTTGCGACAGAGAATCTAAGTTTTAGCCTTTGTTGTCGTTTGTTAACAGGGACTCAGTGCTGCCCCTGTGTTACAATCACTATACCGCAGCTATCTGGGCCGCGCATGCGCTGAAGGAGTGCGGGCGCAGTTGTACCGTGGTTTCGGTTGAGCATTCTTGGCGACGTCTCGCTCGATGAACAGGCTGCTGACTAACGGCGGACCGACGGCCGTTTTCTTCACGTTTGGGGAGTTGTGTTAACGGAGTATCAGAAACACCGGAGCAGCGTCAGGTGAGGTTCGGTTTCTTTAACTAGTTTGGCTCGAACTGCATTATAACTAAGGAGAGCTGGAATGTGACGAGCGAACTAAACGTTGGCGAGCAAAGCAAACACCGAGAGGCAGCTGAGCCGACAAACTTCAGTCAATGTAGAGAGCAGCTTCTCTCTGCCGTGTTTCTCGGTCCCACCTTCTGAGCCGCCTCTATGTTCCTCGACCCTCCAATCATTCAGTCAACTTCATACAAAGCTTTAAAAATACCCGCAATTTTTCATTTACTATCAAAATATACAAACAGCCTTCCTAATCGGCGTGGCTGTCGTGCGCATGCTCTGAGGCTTCCACGGACTTCGAATTTGTAGTTTTTTGTACCTGAGTTAATCGCAGTTGCGAGGGCCAAGAGAAAATGGTAAAACTACAAGTTCCAGACAATGGAAGCTTTGTTTGGGGAGCAGGGGTAGTCGGCTAGTTAGCCTGGACGAGGTTTGAATTTCGAGTAGTTGTGCCGCAGTCGGAAGTTGAGCTGGCTGAGTTGATGTTTGAGTGCGAGCAACATGAGAAATGTTGAGGCAGCGAGGGTGAAGTGGTTTGTTTTGGTAGGTGGTTAAAATTGATGTAAATGACTCTGATTTGTCACGAAAGGGTGTGCAACACGTTTTAATTATGGTAGTAAAAAGGATGACTGGATGAGCTCCAACGTGTGTGGACACGCAATTCCGTTCACGTGTGTGTGTGTGTGTGTGTGTGCGCCGTAAACAGGATTTAGTAGCGCATTGTACATGGGCAGGTGTGGGCGTGCGCGCGCGGGCGCTTTTGTGCAGTCAAGTGTGCACACTGGGAAGAGATGATGCCTCGGTGTGTCCTTTCTCTGGTGAACCCCCCGTGTTGTTGCTGTACTCCCTAACCCTCAAGAAATGACACCTTAAGCATTAAGATGATGGATCCGTAAGAGCAGCAGCGCATGGATGCAACTGCACATATTCTCAGGATCATTTGCTCTGTTTGCCTGCCATCTGGAACTAATGGAATAATTATCAGGGAAAACGTGACAGTGATGTTCATGTCTCTTAACTTGGGTGTTTTTAGTGCTCATCCGTGTGTAACAATAGTCGTGTATCCCTGTGTTTTGAGTTCACTTTAAAGCGAACTTGATAGTCTCAGAAATGATTCCCCTCATGTAAATCTAATTTCGATGTATCCCAATTGATGCAACAAACCGCATTGAATAGTTTAATACCACATACTTTCGTAAATAATTGAAACTATTTATTCTAACACTAAGACGTTTTTAAATATAAGAGAATCCCTATGTAAAACAAATACAACATAGCATATTGTGGTTGTGTTTGCTCATATTGCACATCAGTATTCTGTTCTTTGTGAGCTTTAAACTATTTTCTCATTTTAAAAGCTCTGACAATTGGTGTAGAGCCTCCAGCGTTTCCAGCAGATTCCCACTGTGTTCTACATGTCCAATCCACTTTTATGTGCTGCAGTAATTTTATTGTCATTTGGAATGAAACCAGATTTACAGCCAGTAACTTCTGTTTTTAGTCGAGACTGAAGCGTTTGTGGTGCAGCAGGTTCACTGTTCCACAGGTGTAAATTTTCATTCAAGTGTAGGCCACTTATCATGTGGCTGTTTATACAATTAATTGTAACTTGAGTGTTTATATTTCATACATATGAAATTAATAGCATTATTGATGGCTCATTTTTAATGAATTTAGTCCCAATTTCTTACCAATACACGCCTATTGTTTATGTTGTAAAAAGTCAGCATTATAGAATATCTTTGCCCCCAAATATGTCAATCAGAAGAATCCAAATGTTTTCCACTGACAGTTAAAGGGATTCCACCCAAAATTGAAATATTGTCTGTTGACATATTTCCAGATTTAGATAAGTGGGAAAAACAATTTTTAACCTGACCTGGCTGTATGCATTTAGTTTAGCTTAGCATAAAAGTGAATGGATCCAACTAGCATTGTGAGTAAAAAAATAGTTCATAAAATCACTCAGTAGTGATCCAAATTCTGCTTGGTGACCTTACTAACGGCAAGCGAAAAAAATTAGTAAGATAAAGGAATTAAATGTTCCATTTTAGACTTGGAATGGGAATCGAAAACCAGCTCTTGTAGAGAGGTTCCTACTGTTTCAGTTCCTAGGAATCATTTGCCAGTTTTGCACACAATATTCTTTAGTAATTCCCATTGATGTGAATGACATCACAGTCACCGTGCATGTTGCATATCAGCTTTGGGGCTGCCTTGCATCTTTCAGCGGAGACGTAAAGCAGTGGTTTGTCATAAAATAGGTAACTTTATATTCCTAATTATTTTCACTTGCAGTGAGTCTGATTATTTAGGTCACAATCAGAATTGGAATCACTACTGAGTGATTTTAAGGATTTATTTT